GACATGGTTATTCCAGCTTGCAGGACTGGCCTAGGGGAAAATTTTTAATGGGGGTTTTAAAGTAATTTTAAATTAATTAGACCAATTATTAATATTTGTTTTTAATTATGTTTTAATCTGTAGTTTTTGGGATTTGCATTTTTATCTGGTTGTTAGCCGCCCTGAGTCCGCAAGGAGAAGGGCGGGATATAAATATAAATAATAAAATAAATAAATAAATAAATAAATTACTTCCTTCCAGATTTTTAGTCCTGCTGTACAGATGTTATTTGTGAAATTGGTACCTTAAGTATTTTAAGGCTTAAGGCACTCATCCTGCACTTTACAACCTCTAAATCCCAAAAATCTGGCCAATGGCTCCTCTCTGACAAAGCAGTGCTAGGCCCCACATACTGTGGGAATGAGGTCCTCAAGATATCATGCCACATCTAGTGTGTACCTAAAACACTTGTGCACACCTGCTTTAGACATCAATAAAAACTCCCTCCTTGTTTTTTTTACTTGTTTTTGCAAAGTGAGTTTTACCGGTAAATAAAATAGGAGTAATTGGTCTTATTGCATCCATTATTCAAGCCTATCTACTATACAGCTTATTAAACTAGAATTCATGCAAATGCAACAATTCTTTTTTCCTGTTAGGGCCTGAAAATAGTATTTTACTGCCATGCTCTTTCACTATAATAAATTTAGTACTGGCTATCCATAAGGGTTTTACATTTATGGAGCAAATATGTTTTAAAAGAAAGCAGTCCTCAATATAACAGTGGCTTGGCTGAGAAATTAATATACTTTCCTTTTAAAAAAAAACTTCATGTCATACTTTGGCAGTGATTTGTTGTCTTTGTAGGAACGATCCCAAACACTAACACAGTGAAATGTATATGAGATAGAAACATAGTCTTGTAGGTTCTGCAAATAAATTTCAGCTGAGGTATTGAATGCAAAACTAAAATTGTGAGTCTCAAATGTGTAATATCTCTCTCCTGATTTTTTAAGAACAGTTTCCTTTTGTCACCATGAAGCAAGGAAAAATAAATTCTCTAGTCTTGATTTAACATTTGCCAGGATTATTTTATGAGAAAAATGATATGCTCAATTGATTAAATTCAAAATAAAACTGACCTATTAACTCAACTAATGAAATCATATGTTAAAACATGCTGTCTCAATTGAGCTGTATTTTTGTAAACTTAGTTCATCAGTATAACATCTAGATGAAAATCTAGATGCACACAAAGAAGTTTTGAAACGCAGATATAGATATATTAAATTGGATCCAAAGGAGATGCTTGGAGAAGGAAAAGGGAGGTTATCTTTTCAGTTCTTCTATACATCCTAACCACCCACAGTGACTCAAAATATGGGCCCTTCTGTGAATCAAAAGAAGTACTATCTTTTACATAAAGACCTATTTTGACCCATCTGATAGGACTTTGCTAGAGAAAACAGTATCAGCAATATTCTAAAAAGGGCCACAGTTTCCAAACCCTGTGGTGTAGCCCCATGGGGTACGACTGCAAACTCACAGTGGTGCCACAGAATATTTCACTGCTTAATAAACAGAATTGTGAATGAGTTTGCTGCAGCTTCCTAGAGCACCACCGTGCATGGTTTGGGAACTGCTAGGGGCACCCTGAAAAATTGCTAAGACACTAAGGGTGGGAACTTCTGAAATAATAGTATAATACCATTTCTACATATACATTTTGCATTTATTTAAGTAAAGCATTGGTATATACGTAGCATCTATATCTTTAAGATGATACTATTAAAAGATACCAGTTGGAATACCTATATTTTACTCTGAATTTACTGTTCAAGATTGATTCTAGGTAGGCTCTTGCTGATTAGAAAAAAAATCAGCTCTATTACCTGCAGTTCAAACACTGTTCCTTTTTGGGAAAAATGAGAGAAGAACAAAGTTTAATGTGATGCTTTATCACATTATTTGTGGCCTAGCATTCAAAATAGGGAATTAAGCTGTGGAATGGAAATGCAGCTATTCACCTGCTCCTCAGCCCTTACTCTCTCCTCATAGCCCACACCATATTGCAGGAAACATTTTGTAAGGCAAGTGTTGTTTTCTTGTTCACTTTAAAAAAAATCATTCCTTCTGCCTGTATTCACATGTTTCTAATGTAACCATTAAAATGTAGCCTGAAGACAGCAATAAAAAGCCCGGGATGCCTTCGTGTTGCTGTGTCTTGATCAAAGTCAATGTGTGTAATCTTGTTAAAGCTGCCCTTCCCTCCTCCTTTTCTTTATGAATGTGATGGTGTACAGCATATTGCATTCTTGTAATTAAAGTATCTCCTTTCATTTTGGGATACAGAAAAGATGCTTGTAGTTTGTTCTTAACACAAATGAGGAATAGTGGGCAGAGGCGGGGTGGGTTGATTTAAAAATAGTCATATGTTTCCTTGCTCTGGAAATTGATTTTCCTCTTGGTTAGGAAAATGTACAATCCTGTTTGTACATGTAGAAAAATGTGCCCTAGAAGGGCAGCATATGCAATTGTGCAATAATTTATTGCACTTGGTAAAAGTTAAAAGGGAAAAAAGAGACTGGAATAGTGGGCTTGGCATGCTTAAACACTTCTGGACATTGCCATTCTTTCACTGTTAGGGAAAATTTAACTTTCATCTTTTAGTTTTATATGAATAGCTAAATGTTTGCTTGGACGACATTGTAGCATAGTAAAGAAAGTGGAAAGCAAAGTGGACATTCACAAAAACTGGATAGGACTCATAAAACTAAGTTATTGGGAAACAAGCACAAAGTATTCACTAATGCATGCTAATTTCAAGCATTTCTTATCCTTTGTTTTTGTCTGGCAGGAATTACTATGGTATCCTTGGTTCTGGATGGTGATTTGATTTTCTGGCATCAGATGTTAAATGCATGAAGTAACTTCTCTTAAGTATTAATTTCACTTCAACAAGTACAATAATATTTAGCTGCTTTACTTTTCCTTATCTACAGAATACAACAGATCTATTATTATTTACATGCTAATGATAATACAGTGAACCCAATTCTATAATTGCTTACTAGTTATCCCCATTCCCCGTATAATTGCAATTAATGAGTTGTATCCTCTATTTCAAAAGCATGATATAGAAGTAATTTGGGACAGAAGCGGCATTGGTATTCCCTGCTTGTAAAAAGTGACATTTGTACAGTAGTTGAAAACCAACCTTCACCAAATTCCAACAGACTTCCTGCTTAGGATTTGCATGAATTTAAAAAAACATTCTATGGTGGTGATACAGTTCTTTCAGCACATGCCCTCAGCTTGACATTACAGTTGGCACAGATTCTACATCATGTCATTACTGAGCATTACTTTAATAAGAAACCTACTGAAAATGTGTGCTCAAATTTTATGTTTTCATAAACAAAGCCTTTTTCTTGGAGAATCTGGGTATTTC